CAATATGTTGACCTGCTTGATAGCAGGCAGGCTGGGTTTGAATCCCAGCTCTGCGGTATTATCTTACATATGCTACTAAACCTCTCTTTCCTCAGTTTCTCACCTGTAAAATGCAGGTATAAGAGTACCTACTTCATAGGGTTGTTCTGGGTCTTACATAACTTATACAAAATGTTGAGGGCAGTGCCTGGGACAGTGGGTAGTGCTACATCAGAAGCTTTTGGCCTAGGTGCCTGGACCAGAAGTGGCAGCATGTCAGAGATTTCAGGAACAGCACTGGGAGGACAGAGGAGATGTTTTGAAAAGGAGAACCACTTGGCATTCCTGAAATGGTTTCGTGGAGGTGGCTGTTTACTTTTCATCCTGCCTTTAAGTGAGCAAGAAGGATGAGCTCATCTCTCGCATGTGGGTCAGCCTTCCGGAGTGTATTACAAACAAGAGGCACAAGGCGACCAAATGTGCCCTGGGGCAGAGGACGCCCGGCTGACCGTGCACCTGGACATGTCAGAAAGTGGCACCCGCACCAACTAGATGGGGCTCTATTTGCTTTGGATTAATTCCTTTTTGCTTTATTTTTCCTTTCCTTTTGTTTGAAGGTAACTACTAGGTTTCTCCATCATTTGTTCTTGGAAAGGAGTATGAATTCCCCTACGGAAGCGGTTCTCAACCTGTGGGTCGCGACCCCTTTGGGGGTCTAATGACCCTTTCACAGGGGTCGCCTAAGACCATCGGAAAACACATATATAATTACATATTGTTTTTGTGACTAATCACTATGCTTTAATTATGTTCAATTTGTAACAATGAAATTGGGGGTCACCACAACATGAGGAACTGTATTAAAGGGTTGCGGCATTAGGAAGGTTGAGAACCACTGCCCTAGGGTTTGTATTATACCTCAAAAATTTGTTAAAATTGATATACACTCCCAGTTTACATCTAGTCATGCACTGAATGGGGTCCCCTTCTAAAAGATACGCTGCAGGCCTCATCCTAGTCCTCAGCGCTCCAGAATGTGACGGGGCCTTGCAGGTGTAATTAGGATGGGGTCACACGGGTGTAGGGTGGGCGCCCCATCCAGTGTGGCTGGCATCCTGAGAGGAAGATGGCAGTGTGAAGACACAGGGAGAAGGCCATGTAATTGGAGTCATACTGCTGCAAGCCGAGGGACATCAAAAATTGCCAGCAAACCACCAGGAGCAGGGAAGAGACGAGGAGAGGATTCCCCGACAGGTTTCAGAGGGAGCATGGCATTAATTTTTGACTTTTAGCCTCTAGAACAGGGAGCCTGTACATTTCTGTTGTTTTAAGCGACCCAGTATGTGTTCCTTTTGAAGGTAATCCTGGGTAATGAATACGTGTGCATCCCTTTGAAACAGCTAAAATCCATCCTCCATGGCACAATGGTATGAGGGTTTCTGCTCCTTGAGTAGGCTGCCCACCTTTTCTATGGGGATCCTAGGCGGGAACCTAAAGCCACATTTGGGGTACTTCAGATCAGCTGGCCATGGGCCTTCTTCAAGAGCCCGGAACCATCTCTCCTGTCCACACAGTCTCACATTTTTATTATCACAAAAAGTGGATGGTGCCCTGGCTGGCGTGGCTCAGTTGGTTGGGTGTCATCCTATGCACAGAGAGGTTGCTGGTTCAATTCCCAGTCAGGGAACATGCCTGGGTTGTGGGCTGAATCCCCAGGAGGGGGCGTGGAGGAGGCAGCTGATCGATGTTATGCTCTCACATCGATGTTTCTCTCTCCTCCCTTCCTCTCTCTCTAAAAATAAAAAAAACAAAAAACTATTCTTAAAAAAAAATAGAAGCAGATGGCTCAGTACAAAGCAGGCTGCATACCTTTTGATCCCCTTTTTAATCTTCAGTCTTCTGGTATCAATTTGGTGGCACTTGTTGACGTTGAGTGTCACCAAACAATTGACATGGAACTGTGGACAGTGCAAAAATAGGCCACACAAAAGCGAGTGATAGCAGCATTGAACTTGAACAGAGAGGAGGGATACTTCGGGGAGCACTTATGTTGCTATCCCTAAGGAGAAATAACTACAGCCCTTCAAAGTTTTGAGAATTATCTTTCCAAATGGAAAAGTCCTGTATTTTCTTCATCCATTTAAAGTGTTTTTTAATATATTCACAGTTGTGTAACCATTACCACAACCTAATTTTAGAACATTTCAACACCCCCAAAAGAAACTCTATACACATTATCAGTCACTCCCAGTCAGCCCCCCTCTCCCTGAAGCCCTAGGCAGCCGCATTGTTTAATGCATGGAAATCTTATTTTATCCAAACAGACAATTATAAGGATTCATCTGGAGGCCTCACAAGCTCACAAAATTCTGTGTTTACACTTGGGAGTTTGTTATTCTTTAAACTTCTGGGTGTGTCATGGGACAGATATGAATGATTACCGCACTAAAGATAATAAAAGCTCTTTCCAGTCTATCAAAAGACACAAGAAATGACATGTCTCCCCCATCTTCAGGCTACCAATTGGTCCGCACAGACATCTGTTTGATCCGGAGCTCTTTAACACTTTTCATTTCTTTTCAGTTTCTACAGTTCACTTCCTGAGGGCAGAGGTGGTTTCCTACCATTCAGTTAAGTCAAAGCAGGGTTACTAGGAGCTTTTGTCTTACGTCACTACTGGAATATTGTTCCCTTCGGTGCTTTGAGTGTGTTTATTAAACAGATAGAAAGTGAGTGATATAAATCTCTGCAGGTTTGAACACTGCTTTGCAAGTGAGGAAAAGGATCTACATCAAGGTTCTTGTACGGTCTAAGCAAAGAGTCACAGCCCACAACCTCTGCTGCAAGGTTCTTCCTCTGAGCTCCACTGGCCTTTTGTCATCAGGGTGAGGGCGGGGGTGCTGTCCTGTGCGCTGTAGCATTCCTGTCCTCTACTCACCAGAAGCCAGTAGAAACACCTAAAGTTTCTCCAGATTTTGCCAAATGTTCCCTAAGAGGGAGTGGGAGGTAATTATCCCAGATTAGAAAACTGCTCTAGAAAATGAGAATATGATGCAATGAGACAGGACCTGAAGTGTAGAAATATTTACAGCCTAGAATGCTTGCTTGTTTATTGCAGAAATTTTTTGTTTTTAGTACGTGGCCTTGTAAATTCATTCATTCATTCAGTATTTATGAAGCACCTATTTTTAGAGGATGAAATAGTGAAATGAAAAAACAGAGCCAGGACAAGGTTGATGGACTGGCTACCTGTCACCGGGAAGGGGACAGTGCCAGTCACATGGAGACAGCCCCTGGCTGCTGAGGCTCACCCAGGAATTGGGACCAGAGGGGCGATGGCCTTCCCTGCTGCACTCCCTGACTTTTAAGGTCATAGAGGAAGTCACTTTCTTGCACCTGCCCACGTCACTGACCTCTTAAATTTAGACTGGAATCTTGAATAATGTCTCCCGGGACAATGGCCCCAAGAACTTTCTTGCTTCAGGCCCTTCCCACTTGCTGTTGGTTTTACAAGGATCACTCCTTCCATCATGTTTCACTTGTCTGAGTTGTTTGTAATGTCTTAACCTAAATGTTTTTTCAAAGACTTCTTTCTGGTCCCCACCCCTTTTCTCACCTGGACTTTTTTTTTTTTCATCCAGCCTATCACACACATATTAATGTGACGTGTGTGTGTGTGTGTGTGTGTGTGTGTGTGTGTGTGTGTCCTGCTATTAGACTGTAAGCTCCTTGGAATGTAGTAAGTACTAAGTTAGTATTTGTTGACCAAATGAATGAATTAGTGAATGTTACCTTTTGCTAAGTTATATTTCCCTGTTCTATTACCAAGAGCAGAAGCCTGATAAAATCTCCTTTAGAAAAGAAAGCTCTGAATGTTAATATCTAGCTGAAGGGTTAGTAATTGCATGCATTGATTGCATTCACTTATTTTAACTCAGTCACAGTAATTTTGGTAAAAGAGTGGACAAAAGATGACTGATAAAATGGACGACAGATCAATTCAGTTTTTGCTTATCATGAAATTTGGATTCAAACCTGCAGATTTTGACATAGCTTTGCTTAGAGAGCTGATGAGTTCCTTAAGAATGTTTAGGTGGTCTGGAATTCAAACAACTTTATGTTTACAGAATCATACAGCTGGGGTGCCAAGTGATGGGATTAAAATCATACAGGATCCTCAACGCTAAACTCTATATAAGTCAGAGAAAAACAAACTCTTTACAGCAGGGTAATAGGAAAATCTGCTCAAAGTAATAGTGTTTCTGCCCTGTAGTGCTTAGTCATTTGATCCTATTGCTCACAGATGGCCTGTTAAAAGAACTTCAGCCCGGCTGGTGTGGGTCAATTGGTTGGAGCATCGTCCCATAAAGGGTTGCAGGTTTGATTCCAGGTCAGGGCACATACCTAGGTTTCGGGTTCGACCCGGGCACGTATGGGAGGCAACCAATTGGTGTTTCCCTCTTACATCAATGTTTCTCTCTCTTTCTTTCTCTCTCTCTCTCTTTCTCTGTCAATCTCTTTCCCCTCTTTCTCTCTAAAAATCAATAAACACATCCTCTTACAAAAAAAATTACTGACAGCTTGTAACCAACTTCGATACTGATTTTCTGACCCATCTTGGAACACAAGCAGCCAATTTGGAGTTAAGGACAATAAAAGGGAAGACCACAGAGTTCCGAGCCCAGATGAGAAGAGGACAAGAACCCCAGCTCTTGACCTTCTTCAGTACCAAATGCTTATCTGCGGTATATTTGCAGTCAGCATGCATTGGTAGCTCAGTATTTCAAAGACGATTTAATTAAGCCCAACAGCCTGAAGATGAAGTTTGAGAATGGCAAGTGGGAAAGTCTAAGAAGAAGGTCTTTTACAGCCTTCCATTCTTTTATGAATACTAGTCAATCAGAACCAAAGATTTTAGAAATGAAAGTGACCTAGAGATCTTTAGGTTCAGCTTCGTCATGGCTCTAGATGAGGAACCTGCTGTCTGGAGGGCTCAGTGACTCTTCCAAGGCCCAAGTCACCTTCGGTATCAGGGTCTCGGGAACTTCCTATGAGGCTTAGTTCACCCATCTGCTCTGATGAGGGACTGGCATCAGTAAAGCACTCCTCAGTGACTTGAGGTCTCTTCTCTGTGCCAGGCACTGGAGACACGAAGGACACTTGCTTGTGCCGAGGTCCAGGGAAACTTCGTGTAGCCACTGGCAGCACAGGAGCGTTGACACACCATTAGGAAAAACAACCAGCGCACCCTGAGCTCCCTGCTTAGTATGCCTGAACCATGGACTGAGGTAGGAAAGGGGCATAGAGATGACATGCTGACACTCTAGCCATCCGATCTTCCTCTTTGGGAATAGAAAGGATGAGAAAAGGGAAAAACAACAGGACTAGATTATATAAGGGACACGAGGTTTACCTCACATACAACAGAGTTCCAGAAAGTATTTTTTGTTGTTGTTATGGGAATTTGAATGACAAATATAATATTCCAATAAAAATGCATAGTCCCCGAAATGAGAATTAATAATTTCCTCACTGTGGCCGTTATGGTCCTGAAAGTTTTGTCATGGCACATGGTTTTCTTTATTCTGAGAGTCCAAAACAGACTCCATTCTGGCTGTACATTAGCCTCATCTGGGAAGCTTTCAAAACAGAAAAAAAGAAAAAGAATACATAGGCATGGGCCCCACCATAGGTCAATACAATCAGAATTTCTAGGGAGAGAGCAGCTACAACACTATATATAAACATTGCCCCGATGATCTGCAGCCAGAGCAAGAACCACTGGTCTAAAGTCACAAAACAGCCACCTCGGCAGAAAGCGCACTCTCTCATGAGTTTAAGTCACAATAGGGGTTTATGCAAGCTGCAAATGTGTGCATGCGCAGCGTGTAGGAGTGGATGGGCACGCTGGCCATAAAGACAATGTTTCATACTGACCTTTCGGTACATACAATGCAGTGTTCTGCTTTCAGATGTTTACCACTTGCATTCTCAACCACAGCTGCGTTGCCACATAAATCCTTCTTTGCCCCAAACACACCAGGTATCTTGAGGGAATAGAGGAAAGTGTTCATACCTATGCCTATGTTTAATTATGAGGCCGTGTGTCAATGTTGTTATATACCAAATTGTAATTGTAGAGGTAAGATTTGAGAAGTTACACAGACAAGGAAGGGATTTTAATACACAACTATTACAAAATAAACTCCTGTGACCCAGTCCTTACCTGGAATCTCTTTTCCCATGTCAATTAACACTTTAAACAAGGGTACGCCCCTTCCTCCCTTTTCCTTGTCTGAATGGTGATTGTGTCTGAGCAGTATTTTTCTTGTAAGTCTCATAATAACCTGGCAATAACCATAAGCAGTTGTCATTCCATGCTCCCTTCCAACTCTTCTAACAAATCATTCAGACAAAACAGTCCTGCCCCAGCCCCAGCTGGGGGTTTCTCTCCATCCCTTATCTCCTTCCTTTTGCTCTTTCCAGCATCTCTACATCCCTCATAAGATCGAATCAGGAACCCATTTTTAATGTCGAACCAATAGCAAATACTAGTAAAGTAGAGAATCTTGTATATTACACTTCTTTTGATTACATTGTCCTTTTGATTCCATTCATTAAGACTTCCTTTAAAATATCATTAACTTATTTAAATGTTTAATGATCAGGAACAATCAATAGACTTAGCTCGGGTTCCCTATTGCCCAAGGAGTATGAAGTACGATGAATTCATTTAAGGATTAATTTAAAATAGTGATTTTCACCTTGGAGATCTTGGTGTCTTGGAAGCTGTGGAATTATTACAAGGGCTTTCCATATCCATTTTGCTCATGAAGCATCTTGGTTTTCCACATCACAAGCTCCTACAGAAATGACAACCCTCTTCTCAAATTTTTTTATTTTTCACTAGAGGCCCGGTGCATGAAATTCGTGCATTTGGGGGGGAGGTCCCTCAGCCTGGCCTGTGCCCTCTCACAGTCCAGGAGCCCTTGGGGAATGTCTGACTGATGGCTTAGGCCCACTCCCTCCGGGCCTAAGCTGTCAGTCGGACATCCTTAGTGCTGCTGCTGCCACTGTGCTCACTAGCTGTGAGCCCAGTTTCTGGCTGACCAGCGCTCCCCCTGTGGGATTGGGCCGAAAACAGCTCTCCCACATACCCCGAGGAGTCCTGGATTGCAACAGGGCGCAGGCCAGGCCAAAGGACCCCACTGGTGCATGATCAAGTCTGGGAGAGACGTGGGAGGTTGGCCAGCCGGGGAGGGACTGCAGGAGGGCTCCAGGGCATGTCTGGCCCCTCTCGCTCAGTCCCAATGGGCCGGACCCCAGCAGCAAGCTAACTTACTGATAAGAGCATCTGCCCCCTGGTAGTCAGTGCATGTCATAGTGACTGGTCGACCAGCAGTTGACTGGGCCTCTGGTGGTCAGTGCATATGATAGCAAGCAGTTGAGCCACCTTAGCATATCATTAGCATATTACACTTTGATTGGTTGAACAGCCAACCGGTCGACTGGACACTTAGCATATTAGGCTTTTATTATATAGGATATATTTACCTATTTGTTTCCTATTTAATATCTGTTTTATTTCTGCTCATAAAACATTATTTTACTTTGAACTAGTCTTTATCTTATTTTTATGGGATATTTGCATTTTATCAAAATCACTTTGATGTTTTTTATCACAGATACTAACAAGGTCATTGTAATTGGTGTCATTTGTAGGTTGAGAGTCCTCTTAACTTGTTCATTCTAGTCATTAATAAAATAGTAAATGTGCAAAAATTGTGGTCTCAGCTATATATCAGATATGAGTCACACCTGAAATTCACATTGCGTGTCATCACCCTCTTTTGATGGCTACTTCCGAGTCCTACCTATTCTTAACTGAATCCTAATCCTGATTTCCTACACTTAGCTTGTTGATACGTAAACTATTTGGGGTCAAATGGATAAGTCTTACTTTTATATATATTACAATATACCCATCTCCTCTCATAGGAGATGAGAGAAAGACATCTGCAAAAGGAGCTAATGGTCCCTTCACTTGGCACAAACATCAATAGTGAAATGAATAATGTCTGACCCCTTTTAGAGGCACTTAAGCATTTTCACTTTTTTTTTCTGTAGAAGAGATCGGAAATCTATGAGAGACCACCTCTGAGGTACAAAGAAACTTCTATGTCAGCGGTTCTCAACCTGTGGGTCGCGACCCCTTTGGGGGTTGAATGACCCTTTCACAGGGGTTGCCTAAGACCATCGAAAAACACATATATATTTACATATTGTTTTTGTGATTAATCACTATGCTTTAATTATGTTCAATGTGTAACAATGAAATTGGGGGTCACCACAACATGAGGAACTGTATTAAAGGGTCGTGGCATTAGAAAGGTTGAGAACCACAGTTCTGTGTTGTTGGAGTAGTGGATTAATGGTCGCCACCTTCCAGCTAGTAAAATCTCAGAGATCTGTGTACTTAATATCTATAAGTAGTAAAGCCAAAAAGAAGAAAGAAGAGGCTCAGGGTATCAAGGCTGTTGTCTCCTTCAGGCTTGGAGGATTTTAGGTTTTTCTTCAGGGATGTCTCCTGACCTAGACATTCCTTTGATGTTTGCCATTGTCTGGGGGGAACATGTCAGGGGTTCAACAGGGAGTCTGCTTATATCTCTCTTGGCAAGGGAATTCTCATGTGGCCTGAGAACCAACTCTTAGCCTTAATACCTCTGGACCTAGGGGGCAATGCCAAGCAGCCTGATGGCATCTCTAGGAATCCTGGGAATTTGCCTGCCTGGCCTTGAGATACTTAGGAAATTATCCTTGTCCTCTAGGCCCTGGGCTGCCACTGGACACATGTATTCATATTCTCCTAAAAATGGAGACTAAAAATCTTAATAAACATATACACATATTAGAACACATTTTCTCTTTACGTTGCTAAATAGAGAGAATGCTTTTGGATTTCTTTATTAATTAATTGGATATACGTTTTCTTATAAGATTTTAAATGTGGCTTTTATAGAGAAAAGGGGTAAAAGGAAGACACTCAGTAATGAATCCCACTGTCTTTTTGCTTAGAGGAGACCTTCAGCTACTTAAAGAAGAGTTTCAGATTCCTTCCAGCAGATTCAGTTGGGTATCCATTTTCTAACGGCAGACTCAGTGTAGGGTCATGGGGTGGGCATTGGGAAGCTTTGAGGAACTTAGATCTGAAGTAGGAAGAGAAAAAGAGGGAGAAGCATGGGCAAGAGAAGCAGAACACTTAGAAGGCTTTGATACACACTAAGATAGAAATAAAAACATATGTGGTGGAAGCCAAGAGAAGAGATGAGCAGTTCTGACGAGGCTGTCAGGGAAGAATGACAGAGGCCCAGCAATCTGAGCTGAGCCTTGGGCGTGGCTATGGTTCTACCAGGCAGGCTCCTGTGCAGCAGGACTCGGGCCATACTCCATGCCTGGTCCAGACTGCATGCTCCCTAAATATAGGGTGCCCCCCAAAATGTACACACACATTTTGAATTATTATAAAGGCAATGTTTCTTAAAGTACATTTCATTTTCAAAATTGAGCTATCAGCTGTTAAAGTGTATATACATTTTTGGGGACACCTGTATTTGTTGAATGGCCTTTCTGGGAAGCCCATGATCTGGGAATGATTCTCATTCCTACCTTTATAACTAGAGTAGGTAGAAGCACTTACCCAAAATAGTTTAGCGAACAATTTATCTCCCTACTACAAACCCTGGTGCTCAGGAACAAGCAAGGAAGAGAGATTGGTTGACCTAACCAAAATAACTGGTGATGAAATCCAGTGAATGCAATTCCATTTCCTTGACATATTTTGGTATGCCATTTCCAGCTTTTATTATTACTGCTAATAAAATAGAAAAGGCAGCCCTAGCTGGCTTGGCTTAATGGATAGAGCATTGGCCTGTGGACTGAAGGGTCCTGGGTTCAGTTCCGATCAAAGGCACATGCCTGGGCTGCCGGTTTGATCCCCAGTAGGGGGCGTGCAGGAGGCAGCCGATCAATGATTCTCTCTCATCATTGATGTTTCTCTCTTCTCTCTCCCTTCCTCTCTGAAATCAATAAAATAATAATAATAAAAAGGCAAAAGTGAGCCATGATTGACAGGACATTTTAACTGTTCTGAGAGATTCACTTAACAGTGTAAAATGCACTATTAAGTCTCTCCCTGACGTCTGGCATTTGTTTTTGAGAACAAATATGTAACAACTAGGGAGGAAGTCTAAGAGAAACTACTTTCAGAATTAAACACACATTTCTCCCCCTAGCATAAAACTAAGGTTTTTCTCAATTGTTCCCTGTTTTCACAACAAATTGCTATAATGGCACAGATCCTGTAGAAACCCAGCAGGCAAACTGAGAAGCTGTTCTTGCCCAGTGCCCGTCAGGACCTGCTTCATTCTCTGGCGCCTACCCACATTCACGCAGGATCAGCTGCGCCCCAGGTGCTGGCCGCCCTAGGCAACAGGAGTGCTTTAAAAGACTCAGGCAATCCAGCCTCTGCCAGGTGGCTCAGTTGGTTGGAGCAACGTCCCTTACACCAGAAAAGGTTGTGGTTCGATTCCCGTAAGGGCACATACCTAGGTTGCAGGTTCCATCCCATTCCGAGCATGTA